GTGTGTGGGATCAGATTGGGCGGAATTCCCTCACTGTGTCTCAGTATTGTGCCCTGTAGGGCAGTGGGTTAGTGAGGGATGTCGTGTCTCATAGTGGGGCCGGCCATATGGTCTTCTCTGTGAATTGGCTGCTCTGAGCGGGAACATTGTCCTAAAGGCTTGGTGGGCCACGATGTGCTCCACTCTCTCTTCCTCCCTTCATTTGCTCCCATGTGCTCTGATCATATGTATCCCTCTCCCCGAGCTGCAGATTCAGTGCTGTCCTCTGAAATAAATTATTCTGGGGGGAGGGGCAGGTGTCCACATAGTTGGGTTTGGGGCTGGGCCTTCACATATTAGTCCATTTTATAACCTTAAAATATTTCTTTAGTAAACTAATAGCCCTTAGAAATTTAAAGAATTCTCTCACAACTTGACAGGGAAATTCCCAAGCTTATGAAAGAAATTTCATCAACAAAGAAAGCAACAGAAGGAAAGGTAAGAGTCTTAGTTAACTTTAAAAATAATGATAAAGGTATTATTATGTTACCCTATTGCTAAGGCATAATCCTAGTACTGAATGTGTAGAGTATTCACCCCATTCTCTCTACCCTGTCGAGGTCAGAATGCCATTATTTTCTTGGTGCTATGAGACTTGTGAAATCTCTGTCCATTGCTTAGCTCCTTCCTCTGACCTCAAATCCCAGCAGTTGTTCTCGGCTTGGTCTTCCATAGTTGCCTTACATGTGTGCCCTCTAGGATTTAGCCGTGGATCCAAAGATCACCCCTGTACACACTTTTTGGATTACATGCTTGCTAGCTCCATTCTTTCTAGTGCCTGCCTTCCTAATGGCCAAGCTAAATACTGTGCTTCCCATTACATGAGGATCTCAGGGATTGTTACACTGACCACACATTTTGGTGCCTCAAATGTGAGACTTGTTTCTGGGTACATTTGACCTGCTGGTTCCAAAAATGGCACTAATTTTCCCCTATCAGCTCTAGTTTTTGAGTTACAGTATATGCCACATACTACGCTTCACTCTGCTCACCCATTAAAAAAATCAGGATATTTTAACGTGGTGTTAGCCAGCCTGAGATAGACGGAATGTATGCTGGTTTTATATAAGGCAGTTTGCATTATACTTAATGTTTCGGTCAAGTTATACTTCACAAAGTATCCTTTGATCCTAAGGTATATTTGAACAGTACAGATTACATGAACTTGAAATTTTCTATAAATATCATTTCACCTTTATTAGAAACAAGAAGAGGCGGTTCCAATTTGTTATCTTAAAAATGGGCCAGAAATAAGAATTACTGTACAGTAAATAACGAGCTCTGATGGCATAGTGGGTTATGTGTTTGATAGCTCACCACAAGAGAAAGACGAGGCTCTGTTCCCATAAAGACTGACAGACTCAGAATCCCACAGGAGAAGCTCAGCTCTGCCCTATAGGGTCACTGTGAGTCAAAACAGACCATCTGATAGTTCGCCTGGTACAGTAGAAATTCAAATGTTCTGAAACCCAGAATGGGTATCAGAGTTCAATCTCTTTTATTAAAATTAAAGTATCCCAGTCTTGTTATAAGATGGCACAACTTCTCTCCCTGTACACTGAAACTCTTACAAGAAAAGTTGGAATATTTCTTACAAAGAAGCTTGCCATCAGCCTCATCCCTGAAACATTTGACATGAATTATCCATTGACTTTGTATGTCAAAATGTATTCTGTAACATTTAAAATTTAAAGAAGAAAAATTCAGATCTTCAAAACATTTATGAAAATTGCTACAAAGTCTTACATTTTCAATGCTCTAACCTGCTTTCACACCTTCCATATATGTACCTTTTCAATTTTCTTTATTTTCCACTCTTCTCGGACTGTGTTCTGGTTTTGCAATGTCCAACTTATAGTCACTGTATATACCACACAGCCGCCCATATCAAAAAGAAAAGCCCGCAGCCATCTAATCAATTCTAATTCATAGTGACTTTATAGAACAGAGAAAAACAGCCTCTTTGGATTTCCAAATCTGTATATCTTTTAAAGGCTGCAGGGTGTCTGGTAGGCTTGAACAACTGACCTTATGACCGGCAGCTCAATGTGTAACCCACAGGTCCCATGAGTCCATAGATACCTTCCCTTGAAAGTCCCTTAATACCTAATTCTTCAAATATTTCTTACCTTTTCTGTCTTATCCTGTAATTTTTGTGCCTGAATTCTTCTCATATTTAAAACTAGTATGATAACTTAGTAAATTAGTTTCACGTTGTAGGTGAAACTATCGTAGAACTCCATATCCAAGAAAGTAGAGCAGTCTATCCGATGCAATTTTCTGAATCGGTGCCCAAATAACCCCAGAAGCAGGCCTAAAAACCAAGACGCCGAGGAAAAAGTTATTTTGTTGAACTGTGTTATCCATTACTTAGGAACTGGTATGGGAATTGGTATTTTATTTCTTTTGTCCAGTTGATTATTTATGGAAGGAGAATAATTTTGATGCTAGCTACTACATCATCACTGAAGCTTCATAAATTGTTTTGTTTTTTAATTTGCCAAGTATTTAATAAACTACTTATATTTGGTAATACTTGAAACTTTAGGATTTAGAATTTGTAATATAAAATGACAGAATCATAGATGTACTAAAGATGTTTTCTTTTTTTCTCCTAGACATCACTGAGTGCTCTTGCCCAGCTGATGAAAAAGATGCCCCATTTCCGTAAACAGATTACTAAGGTAAGCAGGCTTGTGTAGGAGATGCCGTAATCATTTTAATTTACTGACCCGTCCATTCCTGGTATCAGACTTAGCATTGTATGCCAGATTAGTTGTCTACTACAACCTTACCCTAGGTCTGAAAAATACCCCCAATATCTGAACTTCACCTAGATTTGTCCAAAACAAACTTATATTTTTATATTTTTGTCTTGAACAGCCAAAGTTAGTTTTGTATTTGTCACCATCATAAGGATATTCTACATTAGATTGATGAGTGGTGGTTGTATTGCATGTCTCTTTAAATTAATAGTTATGTATTAGAGTTAAGAGCAGGTAAACTTCTTTGTTGTCCCAATCTTTCTTATGAATCACAAAAAGAGTAATATTTACACATTTTTAATCAAGTTTCACCCTAGTCAAGAATTGTTACTATAAGTTCATACTTTTTCTATTGGACTATAAGTACTATAAGGACTGTACTCTTCTCGACTCACATTCCCTTTCATTATGATTAATTTCTTCTCTTTTTTCCAGCAAGTTGTCCATCTGAACTTAGCCGAAGACTGCATGAATAAATTCAAGCCTAATATAGAAAAACTATGCAAAACTGAACAGGTGTGTACAGAGTCAGAAACACCTGGGTTCATGATAGATTTCTAGAATGAACTTTGTACGTGAAAACAATTCTTTGCATGACCCAGTAGTTAATCTCAGAGGGACAGCCACCTGGCGAGTAGTAAATATATCATTTCCCACTGACTGTGCATGGCTTGCATCTCTAAGTTCCAAGTTATCTAAAGACTGCTAGGATAGAGCTGTCGTTGACCTGATGGAGCACACTCACAAGGACACTTAATGATGGCACACTCACAAGGACACTTAATGGCGTAGCGGTGATTGTAAGTCATTATTTATTGAAGGTAAACACTAACAGGAACAGTTAGAGGCAAACTCACTCCCTCTAACCCACATAAGCACCCCACTTAGCATTGTAGAGAGGAACCTGTTTATGGATCAAAGGGACCTGGTCACCCTTCCCAAGCTACCTTTGTCCATTTCTGTGTCACTGGGCAGGCCCAGGATGGGTCCAGTGTCAGTAGGTGGCTGTATCTTGTAACAGATGTGTCACCAGCTCAGGTTAGGTGGGCGTGGCCCTGCTAGTTCTCTCTGTTCCTGTGGCTTCTTCGGGCTGGCGTTGGCTCCCTGTGTTTGCTGGTTCATCTCTCAGCCAGCAGCCTTAGGACAACCCTGGACTCGTGCCAGGACTAGATCGGCAATGCAACGGCTCTCAAGACAGAACTTTTATGGGCAACCCCTGTGTGGTGTATGTCCAAACCTCTATAGGCCTTCTCTTAGTCATCTCAAGACAGGCATCCTGTAGACCTTCTTCGCATAGGCCTCCTCTTGGCCTTCCTGTTACAGCTATCAGCACAGCTGGGACATCGTCCTGCCCAAGGCAGGCTAGCTTAGCCCCAGTGTTGCTGTTTGCTCTGATCAGCATCTGCCTATATCGTCCCGGACAGCAGCTGCTTCCCCTTATGGGGCATCGAGCTCTGTTGCTGGCCTTCCTCCCAGAGGCCCAGCTCCACTGGCAATCTTCTGCCCAGATGTACCTTACTTTAAGCTGTGGGCCAACTCGCCCACTACCACTGTCCTGACCGCTCTACCTCTGGCCCCTTCTGGACCTATTCCGTATTGTCACACAGTGTTGCAGCCTATGACCAGTATTACTCCCCCTTTACCTGAATCTAGGAGGCTCTCAGGATAGGGACCGGGGTTCAGAGGGTCCTCTCTAGTCTCTTACTGATCAGGAAGTCTTCAAATCTCTACTAACTTGATTACTTATACATGGTAGGGGCTTCAAAAAGTTTGTGGAATAAGTCTTTATCTTTTCATTGTATTTTTCCATGATTTTTTTTAACTACTCACATAAAGACAAGTTCCATATAAATTTCAAAGTGTGACTTTCCTAAACTGACCAATCCCTTAGACAGATATAAACAGACAAGTCCTCTTGGGTGAATTGCAAGTCACTTATGCAGTTAACAAACCTTCCAAGCCTTGCAACTGTGCCACTGATGCAAATAGCAAACCAACCAATCCTTACAAAACCCCTTATGTGGGTAGCAAAGCAATAGTGCTTTCAAACGGTTTATCTGGATACAAACTGACCCGTCCTTAGGCAGATTGCAGCCACACAGCCATGAGAGTTATAAACCCAGGGTCAAAAGGCCACATGAAAGCAAGCCTTGACATTGAACCCATTACTATTAGCAAGTAGCTCTACCAGATCGTAGGAAGCACACTCATCTGCAAGTGTGAGTTTCTGGTGGACAGGGTGATGGAAGTTGTAAGGCATCAGCTGGGGTAGCACTGTTGATTTAATGTAGCCCCCTTCAGAGCACGGTGTAGGCACGTTTTGCTGTGGATGGTTTAGACCAGTGCTGCCTATGAGAAACACAGCGCAAGGCACTTGTAATGTAACATTGTCTAGGTGCCATCGTAACAACCCCGTGTCAACAGAATTCAGCACGGCCCAGTCCTGCACCATGCGCACAGTGTTGCTGGGTTTGAGCCCCATTCTGCAGCCCCTGCCAGCCCACCTCCTTGAGGGTCTTCTTTCTCGCGACCCTCCCCTCTCCTACACGTGTCGGCCTTCTCCAGGGACGGCCCCCTCGGGGACAGGCGCAGTCTCAGCAGCCTCCTCGCTGAAGCACATCCCGCTGTGCTTCCCCCAGGCAGAGTGTTC